GGTTTTCTTCACTAATAACCTGTGCCAGACTCCTGACAGGCACACAAAGATTTTCTGCAGGTGGTGCACAACAGCATGCAACTGAGCAGGTACCCAAATGACAACCCTAAGCTCAGCAGGTGTGCTTGAAAATTAGCATCGTTTTACATGTCAATTGCATTTTTCATGTAATTAGGTACCTAACTGGCCATCCAAATATAGGCGCGTGTAATAAATTATGATTTATTTAATAGCAATCTTGCGTTCTGTCCTTTAGCTGCTACAAATACCATTGCCATGGAGTTACAATTAAGTTTTAGACTCATGTTCTATTCTTTCTCTGGTTTTCATGCACATTGTGTGGACACTGCTGTATCTAAAAGTAACCCATCCATTTTTTGTAAACACACACACAGAATATTAAAATTCTACAATATAATATTCATTGTTATGGAAAGATTTACTTATACAACAAGGTCTGAGTCACGTTGGCTCCTCTGACTAAGACCCACTCAAAAACTGCTGAATCTGTTCTTTTCCTCCTGAACTCTGGTACGAATCACCAGGAGATCAAATAAGTTAATGGAGCCTCATCTTCACTAGCTACTTCTTCTAGACATGAAATATCAGTGGCCAAATACCTGTACTTTAGCAATTTCTGCCCATTCTTTATACTGCCTTTTTTTTTTTTTTCTTAAATTGTCACTTTATTGTGGCCAGTACTTACTTTTCACTGTCCTACAAGCACCTGCAGCATACTCACCACTGGCTGCGTTTGCAGTACTGAGATTACTTTCTTTCTAGAGTTATGATGCTGATTTCTATTCCTCCCTGTGCAGGTGATCATATCTCTGGATTGCTATCCATCTGATCAAATTTAGATACCTATGACAGTTGCTTAGGTTTTCTTTTCTTGGAAAGAAATAAGCATTTTTAGGGACCTGTTCACCTCTTCTCAAAGCAGCTGTCTAAAACAACAGGGATAATGCAAGAGGTAAAAGTACCTCTTTCTTTTCGTTGTGCACAGACGATATTAAGGGTAGCTATCTTAGTTATTAAGGGGTGTTCCTCTAAGAAGGTCACATGGCTGACAGCCCAGATGAAGTGCCTCTACACCAATGCATGCAGCATGGGCAACAAACACGAAGAGCTGCAAGCCACCATGCTGCTAGAAAGCCACAAGCTGGTTGCTGCTACTGAAACTTGGTGGGATGAATCCCATGACTGGAGTGCAGCTATCGATGACTACAGGCTATTCACAAGGGCAGGTGAGGAAGGAGTGGCAGAAGGGTTGCACTCTACAGCAAGAAATGTATAGAGTGTGAAGAACTGTCTCTGAAGAATAGTCACAAGCAGCCTGAAATCTTGTGGGTAAAAATTAGAGACCAAGTCAACAAAGGGAACCTTGTGGTTGGGTCTACTACAGGCCACCTGATCAAGGGGAGCCTATGGATGATGTAATCTTACTCCAGCTACAGGAGGCTTCACGCTTGCAGGTTCTTGTCCTGCTGGGGGACTTCAACCTCCCCAACATCTGCTGGGAAAGTAGCACAGCGATCTGTAGGAGACTCCTGGAATGCACTGAGGATAACTTCTTAAGCCAGGTAACAGACAGCCCTACCAGAGGGGATGCCATACTGGACCACTTGGTCACCAGCGCAAGTGAGCTAATCAGTGACGTCAGGATTGGAGGCGGCCTGGTCTGCAGTGATCACACATGGGTGGAGTTCACAGTCCTGAGGGATATGGGTCAGGCAAAAAGTAAAGTCAGGCCCCCGAATCTTAGGAAAGCAAACTTCCAGCTCTTCAAGGAGTTAGTCAAGTTAGAGTTAGAAACATCCCTTAGGGACAAGGGAACAGAACAGAGCTGTCAGATCTTTAAGGACACTTTCCATAGATCACAAGAGCTCTTGATCCCCAGGTGTAAGAAATCGGGAAAGCAAGGCAAGAGACCAGCATGGCTGAGTTGAGACCTGCTGGGCAAACTAAAAGGTAAGAAAAAAACACACAGGCAGTGGAAGCAGGGACAGGTATCCTGGGAAGAGTATAGGGACGCTGACCAGTTGTGTAGGGATGGGGTCAGGAAGGCCAAGGTGCGGCTGGAGCTGAATTTGGCAAGGGGGGCGAAGAATAATAAGGGCTTCTACAGGTATGTCAATCAGGAAAGGAAGGTCAAAGAAAGCGTACCCCCATGATGAGTGAGACTAGCAAGCTGGTAACAAGAGGTGATGAGAAGGTTGAGGTACTCAACACCTTTTTTGCCTCAGTCTTCACTGGCATTCCCCTCTTCCCACACATCTTGAGTAGATGGGCCACAAAATGGGGACTGGGGGAGCAAAGTCTTTCCCACTGTAAGAGAGGATCAGGTTCTGACAACCTGAGGAACATGAACATACATCAGTTTATGGGACCTGATGAGATGCATCCCCAAGTTCTGACGCAATCGTCTGATGTGGTTGCCAAGCCACTCTGCATGATATTTGAAATGTCATGGCAGTCAGGTGAAGTCCCTGGTGACTGCAAAAATATGTCCCTGCACACTGCAGGGCGGTTGGACTAGGTGATCTTTAAAGGTCCCTTCCAAACCAAACTATGCTATGATTCTACCTCAGACACAGACTTTTGATAGACAGAGGAAATTGGTGCTATTGGTACATTTTCATTGCTACAGATAGTATTCATGTCTAC